CAGATTAACAGTGAGTCTGCAGATTAACAGTGAGTCTGCAGATTAACGGCTGTCAGCATGTTGAGGACCAGTGTGTTCAGGGCGCTCATACAAAAACAGAACTGTACATCACTTGATGTACTGCTGCCTTTTTGGACCTCGAATACACAAAGTATCTGATGTTATGATGCAAGTACTTGACTTTTAATGGATTTATTTGGTCTTTGTACCTTTGGATGAACTGCTGATGAGAGAGCGAGGAGCCGTCCAGCACATCGATGTTACACAAACCTCCATCCGGTAGTCTGACGTCAGAGTCCAACGACCTGAACACACACGCAGAAATATACAAATGTGTGTATAGATACTGTACGTACAGTATATATATATATGTGTATATACAGTATATGTGTGTATATATATATATATGTGTATATACACATGTAGAAATACTGTGTGTATATATATATATATATATATATATACACACACACACACACGTGTATATGTATATAGTACGTGTCGCGTCTAAGGCTCGACCACCTTTTGCAAGTGGTACAATTCATAACGTCGTAGAATAATACTACAGAGTAAATGCTCACCAGCCTCCGGCAGCGCGCGGCTCCGCAGCCTTCAGTCCGATGAACCATGTCAGAAGGAGCCGTGTGCACGCGCTGAACGCAGCCGCTTTATGTTCCATTCAGAACTCGAGACACGAAAACGGAGATTTAACGTAAATCTCCCGTCATCCCTGAGAACGAGCCGTCATCCCGTTTCCTGTCGGAGAGCCAATCAGAAGCCACCACATTAATCTGACTGAGTGCTGCGTTCAGGTTACGTGGGAACTATGAGACACACTGTATAACTCTGTTTAGTACAATTTTTGAGGTACTTGTACTTTACTTGAGTATTTCCAGAGCTAAATATTGTACTTTACGGAATAAAATGCTCACACACAAAACATCCGAAAATGTACAAATGACACAAATAATCAATAAGTCGATTAACAGGAAACTGTAATTAAAATATCAAAAGTAAAAGTACTAATTATGCAAAATGGCCCCAAGCAGAGAGTTACTTGGTATTAAAATACTTTTACTGATTGGATGTTAAATTATGATGTTTACATTATTGTAAGAGCTATTAATACACTTTTTATACTAGTACCAGCTAACAGATACATGTACATTATTATAAAGTGCAATACTTCTCTCTGAAATGCAGTGGAAGTAGAAATACTGAAGAAAAGTATTGAGTATCCGAAAATTCTACTTTAGTACAGTACTTGAATAAATGTTTAATTGTGTGATGTTTTAAATGCAGAACTGTTACTTGTAGTGGAGTATTTCATAGTGTTGTATTCGTACGTTTACTTCAGTAAAGGGTCAGAATACTTCGTCTCCATCACTTTCTTTTAAAGTCGCTTCAAGAAGAAAATCAAACTTTTCAGAAGAAATCTTTAATTCAACGTAAAACAGATAAAAACATAGTATTTGGTGTTAAACTGTATTTAAAATATTTGTGATACAGTTCAGCTGTTGTAGTATTATGTAGCGTCACATTAAACTGCAACAAGTATTTGACTAAATGTAAAATACGTTGCTGTTAATAACTGTAAATATTATTTGTACTTCATGTATTTATGATTCAAAAAATCACAGTTGGAACTGCTCAGTGCAAAAATACATCAAGGCATTAATAATCAATCATGAATAGATTAAAGAGGTAATAAGTCAATAAAAACACAAGTATTCACCGTCGCTCTTCATCACAGGAGTTCTTTATCTTCTCAAATTCACCGTCAGTGCAAAGGTTTCATGTTTGTGCTTCATAAACAATTCAAATATCATTTTACAGAAACAAATCTGGTAAAAACATTTAAACAAAACCGGATTATAATCTGCATATTAAACTATGAGTGGAGGTTTACTGAATAAAAGGTGATAATTAAAGAGTCAAATGAATAAAGCTTTCAATAAATAATGAATTAATCAATTCCTCAATCTGCGTTTAAATGACAAATGAATAATTTAATTTTACGAGAGAATAGAAACATTTATTCTGTTTATTTGTGTGTCAGTCAAACATATTCCACCGCACTTTGAATCTGTTTAATCAACATATTTATTTTAAGATTTAACTTCGAATTTAAATGTTCGCAAAATAGAAACTGTACATTTTTAAAGGAGGAAATAAATATTTTGAAATATATTAAATGAGTTCAATTTTAAAACTTTTAGGATTTGTTTTTCCAATTTTAAGTCTTAATCATGAATTCATCATTTCAAAATTTGAAAGTCAGTCTTGATAAATTATTTGAATAGCTTTTTTAAAATTTCATTAACAAACAGGTTTAAAGTTTCCACTGAAGATTATTTCACCTGTTTCCACAATTGATAAATATATTAACAATGAATTTCAGTCATTTTACAAGCAACACGTCTAAATGTTCTCTTCTTCCTGTTTCTCAAATATGAAGATTACCTGTTTTATTTGTTTTATTTTGTTGTTTTGTTTGATGATAAACTAAAAATCTTTGGGTTTTGAATAAATGAAAAAATAAACGATTTCAATAAATATCTTTGAGCGGAGGGAAATTATATTTTTGTGAATATTTTCAGCAGACAAAATAATTTATCTATTTAACAGTTTGCACAAATACTTCTGTCGTCATTGTTATTGTGAACAGACGACAGAGATGAAGGATTTCTCTGTTGTCTGTTCATTTACAAGACAAAACTATTCATTAATCAGCAGATTTATCCAGTTTTGAAATCATTTTCTTGAGACTGGTTTCTGTAAAACTCCATGAACATCATCACTATGTGAGCACGAAGAGAGAGAAGAGGACGGGGAAGAGGGATAGCAGCAGAGTGAACGAGAGAGAAACCACACCAGTGGTCCTGGATGTGGACCCGGTCACGGTAACGTTCACGAAGCCCGGCTGGTTGCTGGTGATTTGGCTGTTGATCCAGCTCTGGTACTCAGACACTCGGGTGTAGACTCCGGGGAAGCCGGCCTCAGCGCATCCTCTCCCGAAGCTCACCACGCCGGCCAGAATCCACCTGGAGCCGTTCTGATTCACCAACGGGCCGCCGGAATCCCCCTAACGGGACAACATGTTGGTTAAAACACCGGAAACACAAAGTATTCATTGGCAGACTATTGTTCATTCAACTGATTAATTATTTTGTCTGTAAAATTTTAGAAAATAGTGAAAAAAATTCACACAAATATAATTTCCCATCGCTCAATTTCCCATCATGAAATAAAACAACTAAATAAAACACGTAATCTTCATATTTCAGAAGAGAATATTTAGATGTTTTGTTTGTAAAATGACTGAAATGTATTATTATATGTTTAATTATCATCTACATCATAAACTGACATTTCTAACTAATCGATAACTTAATATTCTGCTGCTTTATACTGTACTACATCTCAGAGGTACATGTTGTACTTTGTACTGTATGTAGTACATAATGTACATATTGTACACTGACAGCTAATTTATTTTTTCCTTCAGTAAAAGTATTTACACCACAGTTTAAAAATACTCGCTGCTCATTGAAATATACTTAAAAGTATCATAGTCAGAAGTACTCATTATGCAGAATGATTTATATAATACTATAGTATAACTGTTGATGCATTAATGTGTTCATCACTTTAAAGCAGTGGTGGTCCATCAGGGCCTGCAAGGCCTTCTCTGCTGGCCTAAACAGAATCACAAAGCTATATCTATTTTATAATTTAATCATTGTTCTTAAATACACTACATGTATTATAATTTATAAAGATATTTCCCCATCATCTTATTTTCTCATTGCACAGCTCCTGTCTTCCTCAGTTGCTCTGCTTCCAGTGCAGCTTGTTTTAAGTAGAGCTTTTATCCAATCAGATTTCACCTCTGTGTCTCTAGGTAAGACCAGAGGCAGAGGCCTGCAGACTCACAAGTGCATCCATGTGCAGTTTAAGTGAATGGGGACGATATTGTTGATTGTCATTGTGTTCAACCAATCAGATCTTTAGTTTGACATGTTGGGCGTATTCTTTGACTTATCAGAGCCTGCTAGCTGGCCTATAATGACGTCAGCATTACATGCAGCTCAGTGTCCATGTGTAGCTCTGCCGCGAGGTGCAGAGTGTGCTGTGATTGGTCAGTGGGCGAGCACGTGACTATTGTGAAATGAAACTCAACAGCAGAGGCTGATGGGTAGTGAATCACATCACGTGATGCAGCTCAGCCAATCAAATATGGGCATTCTGACTCCAGTGAGATATACCACACACCATGACACAGGGGGCTGAGACGAGGAAAGACACTGCAGAGCAGTACGTTCTATGTTCCAGTCCTGAAAGTAAAATCACAGGACAATCTCTGTGGGTTGCGGCTTGTCATTAAGTAGTGATGGTGGGTCCCACAGCCAGACCAGCTGACAACTGCTGTCCTACATGAGCGCAGAAAACATTATATTATCCTGAATTTAAGTTTGTGCATTTTCCAAATGCTCTAGCATTAATCAAACGTGTCGTAAGCCTCGTACCGAACGGTTTAATACGAAGATGTACATAGTTACAGTTAGAAATGAATAACAGCTGTGGCACCATCATGTGGTTATAAGGTGGTATTTCAGCTGCAGGACGGCAGTGAAGGCCCAGGTATAAAATGCACGGCCCGCCACTGCGTTAACAATGGAGCTTATTTGAATGACTTTATATACAGCTGGTGGTGTAATCAGTAATAATACTTCAGTCAATAGTTGATTCATACTCTGAATGTGTAAAGTAACTAAAGTTACATCTGCAGCTCTCAGCGTGTCATCAGGAGGAGGAGACTCACCTGGCAGGAGTCCCTCCCGCCCTCGTCCAGACCGGCACAGATCATGTTGCTGGTGAGTGTGGAGTAGGCGGCGCTACACTGAGCGTTGGACACCACGGGGACTTCAACCTCCTGCAGCCTCTGAGGGAACGGGAGCGAAACTGAAGACAGAAAGACACAATAAGTCTGGGAGACACGTTCCTTCATCACCATCATCACCCTGTAGTTTATACAAATACTCACTAGAACGTGTGGATTAATACGCCGCTGGAAATAGTCCCTCATAAGGTCACTATTGCCTCCTGTTTGTTTGATTAAGAACTCAAAGTAAGCAGCTGTCATCATGGAGAGCATCACTAACCGACCTCACTGATTAATATCATCTGCTCTGTGGAAACAGGAGAAGTCGATCTCAGAGAGAGAAACGTTCCTCAGCAGAACGCTTTGTGTTCCTCGTGTGAAGCGAGAAGTCAACGTTGATTTATTTTTCACGTAACTTAAGTTTTCTACTTCCGTCGTTACTTTAACCCAAACCAGGATATTTATTTCATCATCTTTTCCTAAACTTAACGAAGTTCATTTTGAAAGGATCGTTTTCATTAACGAGCGTCAACTGACACGTTGCTGAAAACGAGTAACCTTCGGTAGGAGATCATCAGAACGGTTGAACGAGGAGACGTTTAACTACGACGAGCTCCAGATCCACCAAACCAGCCTGAAGAACATCTGAAACCAGTGACGAGAGTCTATGAAGCAGAGCAATGCTACGCTGTGATTGGGCAGTCTTCATTCAAGGGGCGGGACTTAGCAAATGGTTGTGTTTTTGAAGATTTACTTCTTCAGTAGAAACCAATGAGACACATTCAATCACTAGTCTTGTCTTTTGAACAAGTGTTGTTAACTTTGGTTTGGGCCGGTTCCAGAATCAGTATATATAGTCTAAATATATATATACTGTATGTACTATATGTATATATGTATGTCCTTTGTAAATGGTTCCTGCTCTATCAGGAGCACAATGAAGCAGAATGAAGGAGTCGACCCAGACTGTAAATCAGTGAGATGTTACTTGTATTTTTAAAGAGGAAGCTTCTCTGTGAGTGTTTCTTGTTTTTCTGAAGCTCTTATGAAAATTGTGCAACTGCTAATGGAAAAACACCTGTTGTGACATCACTGACTGGGGGGCGTGGCCTGAAGAAGAAACGGGTTTGAAAGAACTATATTAAGGCTTCATCATTGATGTGTCACAGTTGGGACTCACATGAAACTCTGCTGAGTCATCAAAACATAAAAGATGAACTGCTCATATATTTATATATTAATGTACTTTGTTTTCATTTACAAAGTCAAAGGTACAAGAGGCCTGCGGACGGACAAAGTACAGTTTCATGTCATGTATGTGTAAAAACAGAATGCAGGACTTTTACTCGTAACAGAGTATTTCTACACGGTGGTATTTTACTAGAAGGTCACAATTTATTGGACACAACACTACACACTGAATTACTCCGTACAATCGTCCACTATTGACATTAATAATACATTTAAAATAAACTCTCACCGCCAGTGTTGATGGTTCCCCACCCGGTGACCCAGCAGGACGCCCCGCCCGCGAACGAGCTGCCGTCCGCCGCCAGACACACCGGCCTGATGTAGTTGGTGAAGGTCACAGGTGAGGACAGGCGCAACAAGGCGATGTCGTTGTCGTTGGTTCGGTCGTTGTAGTTCGGATGTCTGATGACCTGAGACAGTCTCCGGGACACTTCGTTAGTGTTCGGCAGCTGCTGGGTGTCCCGTCCGAGATAGACGGTGAAACCGAAAGTACTGGAGCTGAAGGACGGAAGAGAAGTTTAAATATGCAGTAAAAGTACTCGTACCACACTGTAAAATATGCTTTTGCAGTAAAAGTACTATAGTACCATGCTGCACAAATACTTTGTTACAGTAAAGAATACTATTACCACACTGTACAAATACTCTAACAGTAAAAGTAAAAAGTAAAAATTCTCTGGTACAACTAAAGGTACTAAAACCACACTGTACAAATACAATAACATTAACATTATTAATTCTGGATTTAGAAAATATTTTATATGAAAAATGACTTCAATCATCAAAATAGTTTTCATAATCATTTTTTGTAAATCAACGAATTGATTAATTATCTAATTTATTAATTGATTACTTGATTAATGGACTAATTGATTAATGGGCTGATGGTTTTAGCTCTACTTGTATCAAATGTTGGGGAGTTTAATTTATAACTAAACATCATATTTTATGAACTCTTCATATGTTTTGTGTTAAAAATGTTAATTTGTAAAGTAAAGCTGTCAGATACATGTAGAGAAGTAAAAAGTAGAATATTTACTGAGTTTCAGAGTTAGTAGCAGTATGAAGTGTCATGAGAGGTAAAAGAAGAGTTCTTTGTAGTTAAATACAGCATTTAAAGTGAATATGGAACAAGCTGCTTCGGCCTACTTGGTTGTCCCATAAAGAAGAACACCATGGATGTTTGTATTCATGTGTTTTTTCTGCCGCATCCTCTTTATGGTCTGGTGATACACCGGCTGGCTTCACGTGTCGGAGCTCACCTGGAGAAACAGTGCGCGGCGGTCAGCACCCACTGGTCGTTGATCAGGGAACCTCCGCAGAAGTGACTGGATCTGTGCAGACTGGCCTGCCACGGCCACGTGCCGGCGGGGGCGTCCTCACCTCCGACGATCCGGCTGTTGAGCGGCGCCGAGCCGCAAACTGCCAGGAATCAGTTCAAGTTCACAGAACAGTTCAACACATCACCGAGATTTAATACTGACACACATGTGCCTTCAGGTCTCTTCTGTGAGGTGTGTTTTGTTCAGATGGATGTTGAGCTCGTGTCTGTGTGTTTAAGTGTTGAAATAGAGCCAGGAGGAGCTTAGCTTAGCTTAGCATAATGACCGGAAGTGGGTGCAAACAGCTAGCCTGGCCCTGTAACACCATATCTTGTTTGTTTTAATGCAAACAGAAATGCAGCAGCGTGTCAGAAAGCTGCTTCTAGAGATTATTATTGTTTAGATTAGACTATTATTATATGTTATGTACAGACTCCCCTGAAACCTGCACTGGATTCATGTCGAGGGCTCAGAGTCTGAAACCTGTGAACTGAAATGAGAACATAACTCACCGTCTAGCTGTGCGTTGCTTCCTGCGGGAGACAAAGAATAAGAATATATTAGTGTTTGTTGCATTCTGAAGCATTAAAATCAGTTTCGAGTAAAAATTGATTTATTTCCGAGAATGTGGGAAACTAAACCAACTGGTTGTTTGTCATTGTGTTGCTGGGCGAGGTTGGTATTTGTAGCATTTAGTCAAACAAAGGAGGACATTTTAAACGTCCTTCCAGTTCCAAGAAATGATCACGATAATCATTCACCAGATGAAAAGATTATTGTGTGATGAGGTTTGTGAGGCGTCTCACTTCCTCGTTGAAGTTGTGTGTGTTGACGCACCGTGATATTCTACTTCTCTCTCTTTACTTACTTTCCAGATCAATCGTCAATATTTCACCGAAAAGAAATCAAAGATTGGAGAAAATTCCAGAAAGTGAAAAACGTATTAATGTGGATCAGATCTTAGTTTCTTCTTCTCTCCCATTAATCGTGTCAGGACCCGTCAGATTGATCTGGTGCCCCTCTGGAGGGGCCCGACCCCTATGTTGAGACCTACCGGACTAAACTATGTGACTGTAAAGTAGTTCAAAGTGTCTTCATCTGGAGCAGCTTTAACAAGATGCTTCACGATCAACTAATGATATTATATACAAGTACATCAGTAACAGGAGACATTTTACTGCTCTATGAAGACTTTTACTGCTCTATGAAGACTTTTACTGCTCTATGAGTACTTTTACTGTTCTATGAGTACTTTTACTGTTCTATGAGTACTTTTACTGTTCTATGAGTACTTTTACTGTTCTATGAAGACTTTTACTGTTCTATGAAGACTTTTACTGCTCTATGAAGACTTTTACTGCAGCTGACAATACTACTGTGCTTTTACTGCATGAATACTACAGTACTTTTGCTGCTCTATAAGAACTTTTACATGTTGGAGCTGAGAATATAGTCTCTGGTAGAGACCTGTCAATCACTGTGTAGCCCCGCCCTAAAG